ACAGTTAGCAAGTGAGTCAATCAGTAGCATATACAAATTAAAATGTAATGTTCTTAAAATTGATCCTTGAGGTACCCCACATGACACTTCATAGTGTGTCTGAGTTGACATTTATAGATACAAAAAATACAAAACAAAACAAAAAACCCCTTTCACAAAGATATGAGATAAAGTGATAAAAAAAACAATTCCATTGCTGCCAACATGTTCATTTAAAGAATCTTGTATATCAAAGGCAGCACTTAAATCAAGTAGAACCAGAAGTGAAGGTTGTTTCTATCATGATTTGTTGTGATATCGTTCACTACTTTTAGAAGGGCTGTCTCTGTGCTGTGGTGTGTCCTAAGACCTCTGAAATATCTCTAATTTAGTGTTTGCATTTAAGAAGGTACTTGGGTGATTAAAAGTTTCTCTAAAAATGTGTTAAAAAAAAAATAAAAATAAAAAAAAATGGGAGATTTGAATTGATTGATTGATTGATTGATTGATTTAAAAATTTGTTAAAAAAAATAAATAAATAAATAAAAATGGGAGATTTGAATTGATTGATTGATTGACTGATTGAAAAATTATCTGCATCACAGAAGCCACTGTTCATACCTTGCTCCCATTAATAATCCAGTCAGTGCCATATTTTTTTGCAAATGTCTTCACTCCTTGAAGGTCACTTCAGAGAGAAAATTAAAGATGTAAACCAGGACGGCACAAGGAACAAATTAATATATCACAATATGACTCTGCAAGCATTAAAATGTGATGCACCCTGGGAGTCAATGTCTTTGTATCTTTAAAAGTATCATTTATTCTTTAATGTCATGCCTGCACTGAAGCCCACCTGCCGGCTCCAGGTTCGGTCATAGCGATGGCCCCGATGCATTTTCCAGCAGTCATCTGTGGAATATAGTGCTCGATCTGAGCCTTAGAGCCATAGTGACTGATATAAGGCATTACAACCTCAGAGTGGAGCGAGAACCCAGGACCACTGCAGTTACAGTACATTCTACAACACAAACAGAGCCAGAACACCTGCTACATTATACACACAAACACACAAAGCCAAGGAAAAAACCTAAATACATTCAGGGTTGTGATCCATTCAAAAATGAAATGCATTTTAAATTCCAGTTCAATTCTAAATTTGAACTGAGGCAGCAAGCAGAACACAAGATTGGAATTCAAATTTGAAATGAAGGAAGTAGAATTACAACTGAATTGATTAAAAAAACATATGCTGTAAGTTTAAAGCATGTAACTGGTTTACTACCATATTTTGATGCATTTCAATGTGAAGTGTATTTTTAATATAGTTTGTCATGATTAGATTAGGATTTAATAGTAATATATTGAAGTAAACCGTTAAAGTCACAATATGTAAGTTTTCGCCGCTAGAGGTCGCATTTTCAAAACAATAACAAAGGCGAAGCTTGATGATGGAGAGTGGAATGATGGGAGATGTCGTTTTCACCATCCAGAGATGTCCGAATCATGT